AATTCTCATATATATGTATATTAGGTACGAGCTGTATATTTTTTCTTATAGACTATTTTTGTTTTTGTAAAAATTTGCTGTCGTATAAAATAATGATGTTCAGCTTAATGCAAAGCTTTAATCTGTAACCCACGCGCCTTTTAATGGCTTTAAAGTGATTAAGCGATTTTTGGTACTAATTAAACGTGGGTGTGATGAATGCTAGGGCTCAAACGTCTAAATTGCAGACTTAGCTCATTCAACCCCTCCGGCATATCCCCTGAATTCATTAGGCACTATCCATAACGAGGGGAGTCCTAGGCACCCCTTTTAAACCTGTGAGGGATGCTTTTTGAATACATTAAAGTGCAGGGTAAGATGAGCATTAAGGGTACTGCGTTTATTTGTGAGTGGCGTGAAACACTGGCGACGTTGTTAGTCATCACTCATCACAATGACCTCCATGCAACTATACAAAAATCCTTTTTATTTTCACTTCATAATTTCATACAAAACTAAAGTGTTTTTGTGAAAATGAAAGGAACTTTTGTGACGAAACAATTTCTAAGTAAATAAGGAACGTTTTAGTAGAAATGACTGGGCATTTAGTGTAATGCCAAATTTGTCATCGGGACCGTAACATATATATTTGCACTTGGAAGTCGCCAATCAAATGTAACCTTTTAATTTATTGAAAAAATTAAAAATATCTTCATATCTCATAACATACAACCAATGTGAAATTTACATATGACAAATATGAAAGCAGATTTTATTGAACGAATATCAAATTATAATAAATTATATTTGTGCTAAATTTGACAACAAATTAAGTATAGAATGTTAAAAATATATATACCTATAATCAGATTGATAAAACATATATTATATTATATGATATAATTTTAATGAATGGCCATCGGCTATATCGATCTCTCCAGTTATATAACACGATAATACATATATTTATTATATAAATATAATCATAATGCCATAATGATATAATGATAGAAGCATGTGTTTTATAATATATATTTACATGCACTATATATTTATTTATAAGTCACTCAAACCACTAGCTGTTATTTGCAGCATTGATTATTTTAGCACTTAATTATCTGACCTTAGTACTTTAGTTATTTTAACTTCCTCTTTAATTTTGTATTTTTTTAAATAATATATAATGAGATCTAAGACTTTCATGAGTATTCATTTAAACTAATAGCTTTCGGATATATAAAAATAACCGAAACGTCGGTAGTATGTATATAGTTTTTACAATAATATAATAGGCGTAATATAATCCGAAAAATATTAATTTCAATTATTTTCAATATGTTGCTATTTCTCTAAATAGACCTTTTTAAAAATAATTACAATGTATCTAAAAAATATTGCTTGAATCATACGCAGTATGAATTGTATATACATATCACGAACAGACAAGTTCATTTTATTTTTATTACTTATATATATTATTATATATAAAGCTTAACATTGTAAATCGTAATATTACTTAGCAGTAGACGGAGATAACGATGCCAAGGTCATAACGGTCGAAGCAATATTAGAACAGTTATGACAAACACTAAACCAGCTTCCTTAAAAGGTGTCTGGATTTAAACAAGTGCATCTTGAATCAATAGCCTTAGTCCTCGTAGTGACGTCAGCTATAAAGAAGATTTTGCTGGTTCAGCTAACATAAGAGCCATAAGGAATATGCATAGAGCGATGACACGATAGGATACATAAAATTTTGTGTTAAATATTTTATGAAGTTACATTTAGTACCAGAATGATCTCACGTCCATAGAACGTAGTTTAAAATCACTATAAAATTAACTGTATCTTAACAAATATATTGAAAACAAAAATTATATTAATGATTTTTTTCTTATTTAATATTGAGTATTGACAATCAAGTTTAAGACGTATAAGGATTTCATTACAATATATTTGCTTCATCGGATTTCAATATGACTCAGTCTTAAATGTATTTAATATCGCAAAAGATATTTAATTATCATCTCCAAGGGCAGCCTGCTTATGTTTCTGGTCTCCATATAAAACTGTTTACTTTCATTCCGATATAATTTACATATTATTTTAGTATTAGTTACTCATACATACTTAAACGTATCTTTTGTGTCCATTAGTGTAGAATGGGTGTGTCTATACGGAATTTAAATAGGCTCCTTATAACGTTTTTTGTCTTATCTAAGTTATAAACAAGCATTGGAAATATCAAGGATGACCACTACAACGGATTTTCACTGAATATTCTTTACACGTAGTCTTGGAACGTGTTCTATAATAACTAAATTACTCATCTTTAATGTCTTGCTTCATAAAATTATATAGATTGGTGGATTACGTCAATATTCTCAATACGTCCGGACTCCGGTGTTTGGTTTCTATTAACAATGAACTGTTACGTATCCTTATTTATAGTTTATACAGTACGCTGCCATTAAATCTGTGATGGTGTAAACAATTGACTTGGACTCGTGCCACCCACCATACTGTCTATTGCTCATCAGACAATGCAAGGTTAAACGTTTTTCTAATCAGTTTGTGAGAATTATGATACTTTACACGTAGGTGTGGAAACGGCTTTATAATCTGCGTCTCAGATATTAATGAGACGTAACTAGTCAAGTATAACTAGCTCATCTAATTCTCTTCTATTCTGTTCATTTCTTCTTTCGGTGCGTCATATTTTCTTCTGTAATTTCTTAAAAATGTATGCACTACAGGCTTAGATCATACACCTATGTGATTTCACACGTTTTACGATTTGTTAAATTTAATAGGTTCTGGGAGAGGATAAGTATTTTTCTATAACATATGTATTTATTAAAATAAATTTCGTTGCTTGAAATATAAGACGTGTATTTTTTTCACTCGACTTATTATAGTTTAGTTTATATACGTATAAAAGATTTAGAACTTAACCACTTGCATAATATTCATCCAATTTGTTTGCTTGTGAAAAAAAAAATCTACACTGTAATGATAAGCCACTGATCCAAAATACCAATAAAAACATCTGGTTCGTTTACCAATGCATTTATAAAAAAGCATTTAAACTATAATAAATCCTTTATATTTCTCATTATATTAATTTTATCATATATAAATAATTTTGTATCATTAATTAAATAATTTAACAGCTGCGTAATATATTTAAACCAACAATTATTGTTACCATTGAATCACGTCATGAATGTCATTGTTTACGAAGGTTTGAACAATGGGGCACTATGATAAATATTAATAATTTGATTTGTCCTCGAAATTGAACCTGATTCTGAGAAAGTTTATATAAATACTATGGAACCTACTTAATACGTAATACCTATTTCATTTATTCTAATATATCTTTATATATTCATGTCTATATTTAACTAAGCTTTATTTAGTGTACTTTTGCATTTAATATGTATAGCTATCACTAAAATATAGACGAATAGAGAACCTCCTATTTTGATGTCGGTCAAAAAGTGTGTATAATTACAAAACAAACTTTCCAAGTTAATGTATTGTAGGGTTTTAAAATATACATTGAACGATTATTTCTGTGCTATTTTGTATTTAATTTTCCTGACATCCTCAAACAGTGTTTGATACTTGTAGTCTGTGTGTTGACTCATACTCGTTATAATTAATTATTAATTTCTATATTTATATGTACTTTTTAATGTTATTTGTGTATATATATTATATACATATAGTGCTAACATTATGTTAGTTTTTATTAAATTAAATATACGTATAAGAAAAAAAAAATACTATTGTTGAAATCAAAAAATATTTTTTTTTTTCAAATATTTCAATATTCATTGTTTTCGTATTCATATTTATTAACAGGATTCATATTTACGAAATTTTGCAAATTCTCATCATTGTCCCAATCACAATGTTTGAGACTCTCTCAAGATAACGTTCGTTGTTTTAGCTTATAATGCACTTAATTAATGAGAATAAACCTTCACAGAATAAAACTCAAAGTCATCTACATATAATCTTTATTATAAAAGTGAAAGCTTTTAAAAATCCATTCTAGTATTTTGTTATATTCGTTTTTATCGGTGAAGTATTTTACATTTTGTTCCTTGTTAAGTTATGTAAATGTTATATTTATTTTATTGAAAATATTTTGATTGTTAGTTGGTAGTTATCGTGCTAACCGATGTACAGGATCAAAAATTTTATTTTATAATATAATTTCCGTTCTAGTGTAATTATGTTTTAGTAAAGAAATCCTAGAGATTTTGCTTATTTTTCTAAACGTGTATCAAGCATGCGTACGTGACTGTATCTGTTTTGATGTATTCGTGTGTATCATTTGTAATTCAATATTACATAATCCACACACATCTTAAAAGCGAGCGAGGTTGTGGTCACAAGCTAGCTAATATATCTATAGTTCCTTTTCTATACCAAAGAAGGCTACTGTTACAGTTGTGAGTTTAGAAACCCCTTTTTCGCATTAAGGCGAAGCCTGCACCTGCAGCTTATTTTTATAAGTGTCACGAACCGTTTTACGGACTAGAATTTCATTTCCGTAAATGGACTGGCCGTCGCCAGTAGTGTACAATAAAAATAGAACAAATACATGCAGTGTTTACTGATATTTCATTTGATAGTGACGCTCAGAGTCAATTAAAAAACAAAATATTACCTTGACGCATGCAAATAAAGAACTCGGTAAGGAAATGTACGCAGATATCGCAAGGGCAGTGCCCCTATGTTCATTGAGCATTGTTACCGAGTTGTTGCACTGCTGACCAGTGATTTAACCGTCAATTGTCAACGGTTGGAGACTTGAGTGACGCACTTAAACACGGCTCTTACAATAGAGCGGTATCCCTTCACGTGTAACTTATCATTGCCAGTAAAAATAGGGTGCTAAACTTTATTATTCACATTGAAAATATTGTAGGCTTATTTTAATATTCTATTGGAGATGCCAATGTGTTTTGAAATGTGATATACAATTTAATATATTAGTTACGTGAATGAGCTTACAAAGGCCAAAGAGGACTAAATTTAACATGTGGAAGGCAATAATAAATAAGAAGAGAAAATACAGTGATGTCCTTCCGTGTGATCCGGACGCTTACGCCGCCCTGTCGGCGATGAAAGGAGGTAATGCCGCGACACTACCGCCATCTCTGGATGCATTACGAGCATGTAAGTATTGCCACTATTGCCCACTAGATAGCGCTCTCAACGCTTTGTTTAAGTAAAACAAATGTAGTTTTGAATTCTATTAAAATATTTTCTGTCATTTATAAAAGACTTTATGTTATTTTATAGAAAAATAAATGTTATTAAAACTAAACAATAGAGGGGTTTGTACTAGTATGTAGATAAAATACAAGAGTAATAATATACTTGGCTTCAATAAAATAAACAAAATATAATGTAACATTTTTGTAGTTATATGCAGCTTCTAAAAACGCATTTCCCCATCGTGGCTAAAGAAAACAATATGAAAATATGAATCATTCTATTGTATTTATAACAATAACAACGCCTTGTTAAGGTTAATCTTCGTGACATTTTCGTCGAGTCCGCCTTTAGAGAGACCTTTACTTTTTATAAAAGCGTTGCTGAATAACATGATATAGAATAGCGATAGGTATTGTACTTACTACGATAAAACGAAAGTTAGCCCCTTTGATTTTATTAAATCACAATTTTCATTCAATTTTTGTTAAATATCCATCATTAAAGTCAATAATAAATACTTAATTCATTAAGATAAATGGACTGATATTCTAGACTAGCTGTAATATGTGCGCTGTTTGTTCCTTTAGAGGCCTGTAAACTAATACGACTACAATAGTCTTTGTCTGGATCAAGGAGCGTGAAAGGACATCACTTGGCAGTCCGGTATATTGTGTTTTACATTGAAACAATAAGTTTACCAAAAGGGAATCATAACACAGAATAAGACGTAACTGCTCCTTAAATAAATATAGAATATAATCACTTCCTTCAATTATCGATCTTCAATATATAATACTTATTTTTATATCTAATTGAATCAAATACAGCCTGTGTTCGTAGCTATAAACAGTACGGTAAAATTGTTCAAAATATTTTTTACCTACCGCTCACATATTTATAGCATCTCATTATTGTTTTCATACAATGCACCCACCATGACACGGTTTCCACGGGTTTACGTAAACCAGCTAATTACCAACACCAGCTCAATAGATAGCTCTCAGCCTACACAATAGTGAGCATTATGAAAAATAACCACAAACATTTATGGCTAATACCTCATTAGATTCGTAGAAATCTATATAGATAATAATTTTATGTTTTATTGTTTGAAAATTAATTTTATATAAATTTTGTCTTTCTTAGAATTATAAAGACGAACCTTTGAAAGATTATAATCATGATGGTAGTCTAACAAACGTTTTTCGTCATCCTTAAATGTATTTAAGGAAATATTAACTACTAGTTTTTGCCCGCGACTTCGTCCGCGTTAGTTTCGTCATTAGTAATATATGTATAGCTGACCGGGCGAACTCTATTCCGTTTTAGAGGCCATTAATAATCAGGTTTCTCCTGTTTCAATCGAACAGAATGATTGACATATTAGTTAGTTGTCAAATCTAATGTCAAAGAAAACGTTTGTATGGGAAATAGAAAAGGGCTGTTTTTAGGGTTTTCCCGGAAATGAAACAATTTTTTTCAGCTTTCAAACCTTCCCTGAATTTCCACGAACATTTCAAGACTAAGATAAGATAAATCCGTTCAGCTGTTCTCGAGTTTTAGCGAGACTAAGGAACAGCAATCCATTTTTATATATATAGAAGATGATTTAAAAATGTATGAATATAAATATTAATATTTATAACAATGGTGCCATATGAATATTGGTTTTAATAATATATAACGAATATCCATGGACACGTTTGACGCAACAAGCGGATGTCTGAAAGTTTCACAACTTTGACCTCATTACTCCAGGGTTGGCGGTCATATTAAATATTACACTGACTGTAATATATTGTTATCAAATATCAAGTGACCAATATGTAATATCTAGACTTAATTGCGTTAATTGATGAAATTGTATGAAGCGAATTCTTGAAGCTGGTTATATTTATAGCCCTTGACATGTGTCATATTAAAAGGCATACCTACCTATAAGAGTGTTTTTTAAGAAATTTAATTTAGGCTATTTTTGCTATTCTTTTCTATTTTACGTTTTGATTTCTTTATTGCTATTCGTGATCTCGTAAAGACAAGATGAAAGTTAAAGCAAGGAAAATTTGTTTAATTCAAAAGTTTGATATTCTTCAATAATTTAGAAATCTTTATTTATTTTGTAAATTAAATTCGTTCCTACTGATATAGTAAGTAATAAATGTAGTAAACTTTTTCACAGACTATTCTTAACATTATTTACATCTCATACATTATCATAGAAACGTGTCTAGAATTTACTTACACACTTCTTGAAGTGACTAAAGATTAAACATTTCAAGGAAGTCTGAGTCGTGAGTATAGGTAGATGCTGTTATTAATTTAATATGAATTCTCGACTTGATATATTTACGTATAATTCTTGTTAAACGTACATATATTATACATGGGACATTAGTATAATAAACCTGTTTTATTCATACCATTTTAATATAAATGTGGTGATTTTCTTACTTTTCTACTCCTATTATGGAAAACGTCACATGTCAACGAGACAGCGTTCCTCAACCCTAGGGATGAGAGCGCGTGCAAGTTTTTACGAAAAAACTAGTTGTCAGCGCACAGAGGCCGATCATTACAAAATTCTTTAATGGCTTTTTATATGTTTACATCTCAGAAGCAATTTCAAAAGCTGGAAGTGCTTTATCGTTTTTGTAAAGATCGATGTTTAATTTGCCAACATTATAACAATAACTATAATGATCCAACGCGACGGCCTACACGTCTCAATACAAATATAGATCTTTTCATTATGCCGATGAAAACAATGATTCAGCAGAGTGCTCGTTATGTATGAGTCACTGACTTACTGGAGGCCGGATCACTGCTGGCATTAAAGATGAGCCAACCCACTCTTACTTACTCTTTAAAAATTACGCCTTTTGTTCCACTTATGGTAATGGATTGCCATACGAAGTCTTGTATACACTTCTGTTTACTAATCTAATATTTATTACTAATATTATAAATATATTTTTTACTTCAGTAGTGTTACTATTTAAATGACATAATTTTTTTCTGTTACAGGTAAGTCCTGAGCTGGTTTTAATGACGACTAAATAACAAACTACACGGGTGAGTGCGGAGTTGGGTTATATTTTAATGCTGCATATTAGGTACGCTCTCAAAATCAAAACGTGACCATTAATTATGTTAATTCATGGTTAAACATGATAACGCATGGAGTGTGTATGTGAAGTGTGTGGCGTTAAATTACATACGAAATGGAAAAAAAACACTTTCCCCGTATCGTCTTTAACTTTACGTATCAAGCGAATTTCTATTTAATTATGTTAGAAACTGAGCAATTTATTTTAGTAACCGACTCGGGCGAATAAAGTACGTGAGAGTAAAACGTGTTGAAGAGGGTGTTTCAACCAGATCCAAGCGTGTGTACTAATGAGAGTGCCGAGTTAATTATTGTCCTAATCCTGTATAACTGACCGTGCACCGGATGTTGCATTGATGTGGATGCTGGGTCCACCGTTACGGTGCATCCGTTCTCAAATAGGGTTACCACTTACTGTTTTTATACAGTTAGGTTTAACTCATTTCGTAGTAGTAAACTGTGTTTTGCGTAATGGGGTTTTGTTTAATTGATTCCTTCCTCATTTCTCGACTTTTCCTGTTTGTTAATACAATATTAGTAGTAAAGCTGTTTTTACTAGTAGAAAATATAGAAAACGGTCGTAGGGTTAAGTAATTGGTATTTTTTAAATAAGGCAGTTTTGATTAAAATACAAAATCATTAAGACTATATCGCTGAGTTGACAACCCTTTCCAAAGCCGTTTTAAAGCGTGAACGCCATGTTTGTTTATAAAGTTATTTTGAAATCAATGCCTTCTTTCCGAGAATTTTTGTCTGGTGCCGAAACTTAACGCTTTTTGTGTTAAACAATCAATTAGGAAACCCCTTGATATCATAATATTTACGTCTCTCAGCTACTCCTTACCTATTATTAGGTTATAGTTTTAACTAAAGGGGTGCGTACCTATTTTTGATTTATATGAAGACGTTTCGTAAGAAGATGAATGTAGGATATGAAACCATTTCAATAACATAGTCGAAGTTCCTTATTACAAACGTGACCTAAAATGACTGCCAAAAAAAAAATTAAAACGTAAATAACAGATATAAATGCATTTAACAGCAATGCAGATGTTTCTTTTCACGGCTTTAATTGGGTTACAAACATCGCTCGTGTTCTTACGTAAGATATGAAGAGGTCTATCGATTGACGCATAAATTAGAATTGTGATAAGTAAAAAATATTATAAAATAAAAAATATACTAAACGAAGAAGTTTCGTAATATTGTCGCTCTATATATATGTATAGTTTATATGTAGTTACAGTGAATGTGTCACAATCTGTTTCAAAGCGGGTCCCTTATCTTGGTGTAGAGTTGTGTTTATACTATCACACATACTTTATCTTGCCCACGTGTTGCGTTATTTGCAGCTCGATGTGATCAACTGGAATTGAAGAATCGTTTACTACGTATGAGAATAAGACTCTGAGTTTTCCTTGCTTTTAATTATAGCTATGTTTACTCTTTATTTCCGTCTCGCAGCGCGATAAATCAGTGGAGGTTATAAACAACGTTCCTACATCTCCTTCGCGTACCAACGAGAACGTTAAGATTTTAATTAGTTAGCTCTTTTAAGACTTTATTAAGATATTATATGTGACTTTTTATTTCTGTCTTTATTAAATGTTAGCTTAATATTTTTATCTTTAATAATTATTACAGTTAAAAGTTTGTTATTATATGGCTATCTAAATAAAATATCATACAACAACTAAAACTGATAACACTTCCCTTATTGAAAGTGTAATCGAGTAATCTAAGTTATCTGACGAACAAATCGAAACAAAAGCCACATTCGGCTAATATTTTTATAAGTTATCGTGAATCAATTAAGTCACGGAACTTTATTATTTAGTCAAGCTAAAACAGAACACCGTACCGGATTTTAAATAACCATAAAATCGTGTGAAAAACTTTAGGATTTTTTTAAACAGTGTGTTATAAGGTACTGAGAAAGACATAATCGAAAGTGTTTGTATTATTTTTCCTTATATTTTGTATGGTTCTTTTGTTGCAATATACATATTTACTTGGTTATATGTTTAAATTATCGCCTGTACTAATTCCGCAGCTGCTATGTTAATGTATTCGT